GCTCTTCATAGGTGATAAATTTATTTATTTATTATTTTGGTGTCTGTCCTGGGCCTTGAACTCAGGGTCTGGGCACTGTCCTTGATCTTTTTTGCTCAAGACTAGTGCTCTATCACTTGACCACAGCTCTGCTTCCAGCTTGTTGGTGATTAATTGGAGACAAGAGTTTCACCAGCTTTCCAGCCTGGGCCAGCTGGAGCTTATACTAGTGGTGCTCAAATTTGTCTGCACATTGGAATAAGTTGGAAAAAGGGAGGGAAGGAAGGAAAGAAAAAAGAAAGGAAGGAAGAAAGGAAGGAAAGAAAGAAAGAAAAAGGGAGAGAAAAGAAACATAAAAGGAAGGAAAGAGAAACTTGCTATGTCCCTTTTTCTTCCTTTGTACCCTGTGATTTAAGGTCTATGGTGTGATCTAGAAATTTTCAAGATTCCCCAGGTGATTGTAATGTACAGATAAGTCTGGGAATCATAGGCTTATAGTGGTCTGTGTGATCTGATTATGTTTTAGGACAATAATTGATGTAGAAAAAGAATAGAAATAGGGCAACCTACTTACTCTTCAGATTTCAAATAACGTGCATTAGGAAGCCTTCATGATACTATCTCATTCTCAAATTCAAGTTAAATGCCTCAGCTGTGTGCTTTTATAGCAGTGTTTCTCTTTATATCTCTCTTACAGTATTATAATTTTTGCAGAATAAATGTGGCAATGAAACATATTGTTTTCTGTAGAGTTAGAGATGATTAGAAATAGTAGACTATAGTTAAAATTGGGGCTACAGAGATAAGGGTATCAGCAGTGTCTGGGTCTCTTGTTCTCAATCATGGCTCTACATTAGAGTCATCTGGAAAATTTAAAAACAGTACCAGTGCATGGCCTGACTCTAGACAAAGCTAAGAGCTAGGCCATCAGTACCTTCTAAAAACTCTAGATGACTTCATTGTACATCAGGGTTGAAGTCCTCTGGCATGATTTCTAAAGAAATCATGGAACCAGAATGGAGGAGGTTTACAGTTAGAATCACGAAAGATAACATTAATGAATCAGGTGAAGGGAAATGGTTTCATGGCCTGAGATACTACATATATATATATATTTTTTAAGTTGTGGGGCTTGAACTCTGGGCCTGTGCACTGTCCCTCAGCTCTTCAGCTCAAGGCTAGCGCTATACCACTTGAGCCACAGCGCCACTTCCCATTTTCTGATCATTTATTGGAGATAAGAGTCTCATGGACTTTCCTGCGCAGGCTGTCTTTGAACTGCGATCCTCAGATCTCAGCCTCCTGAGTAGCTAAGATTATAGGTGTGAGCCACCAGCACCCAGCTGATATTGCTATATTTCTAACAAAACTTGTACCGATTTGCTTCTCCTACTTTTGGGAATTGATAGCAATTCTCTTGTTTCCCATCTCCTTGCCACTAAACAAATACAAATATAACTTCCTAGTATTGTACAAATTATTCTTTAGGTGGGCCTCAGGCATATCTGGTCATTTACAGGAGACTAGTACTACCACTTAAGCTATGCCTTTAGTTGGGGGGGGCGGGGAAGGGAGAAAGCAGTTGGGGATTTAAACCATGACCTTGTATATGTTGGGCATTCTACAACTGAACTACAACCTCCAGCTCCAGCTTCTCATTTTTTTATATTAAACAGTAAGAGACTGGGAAAGGAGCTTACCAGACAGTGTTTCCCATGCCTATTCACACTTGTAATTTACCTAAAGCCCAGTTCTTTCCAAGTTCATGACCAATCTGTTGTTACCTTGGACTTTGTAGTACAACAAAAGCAGTGAATGGAGTTTCCCACTGTGCAGAAATAGCTGGTGGTTTTTCTTGTTTTTATTTCCTTCATCCATTTTCCTCCAATTATAATGACTAGGTCTCCAACTCCTTATCTCCAGTTGTGTTTGACTTACTTTTTGCATAGAAAGAAGAGATAGGGTAAGCGTGAACTTGTAAACAGTGCCTGGAATAGAGGGCAACCTAGAAGGTACCTTGACTTCCTCAGGAACAAATGATAAGTAGTGAATCAGGACCAAAATAATGACAAATTGTAGATTGGAGTCAGAGTTCTCAGGAGCCTAGAGATTAGTTCGGTTATACAATAGGTACAATATCTTAGCTTAATTAGAACAAAGAGATGAGTTTGAATTGGGGAAGTTATTAATACAGTGTGAAAAGCTGCATTGCAAGGAATTGGATAGGCAGGAAAGAAGCAGGTTCTAGATCTATTTCATAGACATTGAGGGTAATATTAATAGAACATAGTGCCTGGTGCTGGTGGCTCAGCTGAGTGCTGGTGGCTCATGCCTGGCTACGCAGGAAGCTGAGATCTGGTTCAAAGCCAGCCTGGGCAAGGAAAGTCCAAGAGACTTTTATCTCCAGTTAACCACAAGAAAACCAGAAGTGGCACTGTGGCTCAAGTAGTAGAGCACTCACCTTGACCTGAAGAGCTCAAGGACAGAGCCCAGGGCCCAGAGTTTAAGCCCCACAACTGAAAAAAAAAAATAGAGCATAGCTTTTGGCTTAAGGGATTTTCAGCTTAATGAGGGACACATTTATTAAATAGCTAGTAGAATAACAATGAAATAATTGCTGAATAACAGTATAATAAATTATTATTTTTAAGAGAAGGGTAAGCTGGGTGCTGTAGTTCATGCTTGTAATCCTAGCAATTCAGAAGGTTGAGGTCTGAGGGTTGCAGTTTGAAGCCAAGCCAAGCAGGGTTTTAAACTCTATGAGGCTCTTATCTCTAACCACGGAAGTGGAGTGGTGACTTAGGAGATAGAACACTAGCCTTGAGCAGAGAAGCTCAGGCACAGTGTTCAGGCCCTGAGTTCAAGACTGGCACCAAAAGAGAGAAAAGAGAGAAGAGCTGAAGGGTGTGACTCAGTGGTAGAGTGCCTGCTTAGTATATGTGAAACCCTGGATTCAATTCCAAGCCCTTCCTTTACCCCTACCACAAATGAGAAGAAGAAAAACTTTTGAAGTAACTAGGCTTCCCATCAAAATTGAGAAAAAGTCTAGTAGTGGGGAAGGTAGGAGTTGGGGTGGCATTTTTGCTTGAGGCTACCACATTAGTGTTAACATTTCAGAGTACCTAGGGGTAGTAGTTTACACCTGTAATCCTAACTACTCAGAAAGCTGAGATTTGAGGAGACTTTTTTTTTTTTTTTGGTCAGTCATGGGGCTTAAACTCTGGGCTTAGGTGCTGTCCCTCAGCTCTTCAGCTCAAGGCGAGTGCTCTACCACTTCAGCCACAGTGCCACTTCTGGTTTTCTAGTGGTTTATTGGAGATAAGAGTCTCACCTTGCCCAGGCTGGCTTTGAACTGTGATCCTCAGATCTCAGCCTCCTGAGTAGCTAGGATTACAGGTGTGAGCAACCGATGCCTGGCCCATGAGACTCTTTATGTCCAATAAACTACTCAGAAAAAGCTGGAAGTGGTACTATAGCTCAAGTGGTAGAGCACTAGTCTTGAGCACAAAGAGGCTCAGAGATAGCACATAGGCCCTGAGTTCAAACCTCAGGACCAGCACAGGGGGAAAAAAATTGATAGTTAGATACATGCCTATAAGTCCTGATACTCTGGAAGGTGAAGCAAGAGGATCATAAGTTCAGGTCTAACCTGAGGAACTTAGTGGGACCCTGTCTTAAAATAAATTAAAAGGAGGGCTGGGAAGGTGGCTCAATGGTAGAGCACTTGCCTTGCATGCCTCTGAGGCCCTGGGTTCGATTCCTCAGCACCACATAAGCAAAAAGAAAAAAAGATGGAAGTAGCGCTGTGGCTCAAGTGGTAGAGCGCTAGCCTTGAGCTGAAGAGCTGAGGGACAGCGCCCAGGCCCAGAGTTCAGGCCCCACGACCAGACCCTAAATTAATTAATTAATTAATTAAATTAAAAGGGGACCAGGTGCCAGTGGCTTTATATGCCCAGTAATCCTAGCTACTGAGGAGACTGAGATCTGAGGATTGAGGTTCAGTGCCAGCCCAGGTAGGAATGTCTATGAGACTTATCTCCAGTTAATCACCAAAAAGCCAGAAGTAGAGCTGTGGCTCAGGTGTGAGAGTGCAGAGATTATAGGCAAGGCATGCAACATCACACCTGACTTGGAATCAGCTCTAATGAGTTTTTGGTGGTCATTCTTTTTTTTTTTTTTTTAATCATTCCTGGAGGTTGAACTTGTCTTGGGCGCTGTCCCTGCGCTTTTCAGCTCAAGGCACACACTCTACCATTTGAGCTCCAGCACCACTTCCAGTTTTCTAGTGCTTTATTGGAGATGAGTCTCACAGACTTTGCTGCTGGCTTTGAACCGTGATCCTCTCCTGAGTAGCTAGGATTACAGGCATGAGGTATCGGCACCCAGCTGGTGGTTGTTCTTGTTGGGTTTTTGTTTTTTTGTCAGTCATGGGGCTTGAACTCAGGGCCTGGGTGCTATCCCTGAGTTTTTTTTACTCAAGTTTAGCACTCTGCTACTCTGAGCCACAGCTCCACTTCTGGTTTTCTCATAGTTTATTGGAGATTAGAGTCTCATAGACCTCCCTGCCCAGGCTGGCTTTGAACCACAGTCCTCAGATCTCAGTTTCCTGAGTGGCTAGGATTAAAGGTATGAGCCACCAAAGCCCAACACTTTTTTTTTTTTAATTACAAATGACTAATCCCATTAGATGTTTCTGAAATGCCTCCTTGATTGAATATTACTGCCATAGGAAGTTACTGTTTTTGTGAAACTGTGTCATATCCCTCAGGTTTGTTACAGTAGAGAAAGTTTGAGAATATGGGCTTGGCTGAAACCTCTTCAAGAGCAAGATCCATATAATTGCGTAATTTCTCCACAAATTCTTACTAAGACCCATATAAATAGGCAGTTAATATTGTATTGGCACCATTGTACACTGATTTTTTTACAAACGCCAATTGTTTTGGACAATTGAGTTTCTGTTTGTGAAACTGAAATAGTAATGAGTCAAGCTTTTAACTTCATGGCCTGTCTTTACACAGAATCCTCACAATGGATGGGCTCACAGAGGACATCAAGCGACGACGATATTATGAGAAGCCTTGTCGCCGCCGACAACGGGAAAGCTATGAGACCTGCCGGAGGATTTACAACATGGAAATGGCTCGAAAAATCAACTTCTTGATGCGAAAGAATAGGGCAGATCCATGGCAGGGTTGCTGAGCTTGTGGGTAGGAAGCCTACATCTACTTGGTGCCTCCATCCCTTTTCTTTCTCCAGCCTCACTTTTTGTTACCTTTCTCTACAATAAACTACAATAAACTCAATCATGTGTATGCAAGAAGGCCTGGGTGTATAGAAACAATCCCATTAAGCAACAATGGACCCTCATTTTTATTAAGAAAAATAGTCCAGAAGTAGTCCTCGAGTAGAAAGGGGGTTGCTAAGGGCTAGGGGAGTATGAGGGTGGAAGTTACTGTTCAGTGGATACAGAGCTTGAGTTGATGAAGATAAAAAAAGTCTGAAGATAAACTGGAAGTGGCGCTGTAGCTCAAGTGGTAAAGCGCTCGATTTGAGCTGAAGAGCTGAGGGACAGCGCTCAGGCCCAGAGTTCAGGCCCATGACAGACAGAAGAAAAAAAAAGTCTGAAGTGATGGCTACAGAAAAATGTGAATGTATGTAATGACACTTATCTGTACACTTACTTAAATCAGTAAATTTTATGACTATTACAACTTAAAAACATTTTAAGCCTAGAAGACAAGAGGAAAATTTCCAAAATATATGTAGCTATACAACTACATATGTGTGTAAGTGTGTTTATGTTTATTTCTCCTAAAATACCAAACCACCAGACAAGAGTGCCTGGATCCTTGTTCAGAGGAATCTTTAAGATGAATCTAACACTGTTCACTCCTGCTTTTGGTCTTTCCTTTAATTCTCCTAATGGAGACAAAGGGAAAGCTAACAGAGAAGAAATAATAAGTAAATGGTTGTAAAGCAATAGATGCACGATAGGAGTTAAGATGAAGACCAGAAATACCTTGGAGCCCTAGAGCTGTGGTTCTCAGGGTCCTCAGATCAGCATCAGTATCACAGAAGAACTTCCTTAGGTCTTCTGAACTGGAAATTAGGATTGAGGTCCAGCAATCTATTTTACCAAGCCTGCTAGAGTTTGAGAGCTGGTGCCGAGTATGTACAAAGAGCTAAGGGGAAACTGCCACCACATTACCCCTTTCCAGCAGACAACATCTGAGTAAGTTGGTTCAAACACTGTGAGGAAACCAGGTGCTCTGCTTTCCCTCCTGATATCCGCTAACACTGCTCTTGGTCCCCAGACAGCAGTGCTGCCAGGATTAGGAGAATTGGTACCATCTCAGCAGGACAACCCAGAGAGGAAGTGAGGATGACCAGCCCACCTGTCATTAAGGGTGCAGCCATCTCAGCATATTAAAGGAAATAAACAGCAGTTGGCCAGACCTTGCATTTAAAGTTATGTTCAAGCTCACATCTCTAATCCTAGCTACTTAGGAGGCTGAGATCTGAGGACAGTAATCAAAGCCAACCTAAGCAGAAAAGTCTGTCTGAGATTCATTTCCAATTAACCACAAGAAAACCAGAAGTGGAACTGGGCACCAGTGGCTCTCGCCTGTAATCCTAGCTATTCAGGAGGCTGAGGCATGAGGATCAAGGTACAAAGCCAGGCTGGGCAGGAAAGTCTGTGAGACTCATCTCCAATAAACTACTCAGAAAACCAGAAGTGGCTCAACTGGTAGAGCGCTAGCCTTGAGCTGAAGAGCTGAGGGACAGCATTTAGTCCCAGAGTTCAAGCCCCATGACCAAAAAAAAAGAAAAAGAAAAGAAAACCAGAAGTGGCACTGTGGCTCAAAGTGGTAGAGTGCTAGCCTTGAGTAGAAAAGTTTAAGGACAGGGCCCAGGCCCTGAGTTCAAGGCCCATAACTAACTAAATAAAGTAGTGTTCAAACATTGCCCTCTTGTGGAGTAACAGTGGTTTCAGATTTTTAGCTTCCTTTTTTTTTTTTTTCCTTTAGATATTTTTGCTAGGTAATCATAGCCCAAGTTCCTTATTGGCCCTGAGAACCTCCTGCCTTAGCTTACTGAATTCTGCAATTGCAGATGTTTACCACCACATCTGGCACCTTTTATTTATTTATTTATTTTTGTCGAGCATGGGGCTTGAACCCGGCCTGGGTGCTGTTCCTCAGCTCTTCAGCTCAAGGGTAGCACTCTACCACTTGAGCCACAGCGCCACTTCCAGTTTTCTGAGTGGTTTATTGGAGATAAAGAGTCTCATGGGGGCTGGGAAGGTGGCTCAGTGGTAGAACGCTTGCCTTGCATGCATGAGGCCCTGGATTTGATTCCTCAGCACCACATAAGCAAAAAGAAAAAAGCTTGAAGTGGCGCTGTGGCTCAAGTGGTAGAGTGCTAGCCTTGAGCTGAAGAGCTGAGGGACAGCACCCAGGCCCAGAGTTCAGGCCCCACAACCGGACCCCAAAAAAAAAATCTCATGGGTGGGGCGTCAGTGGCTCATGCCTGTAATCCTAGCTGCTCAGGAGGCTGAGATCTGAGGATCACAGTTCAAAGCCAGCCCAAGCAGGAGAGCCCATGAGACTCTTTTCTCCAATAAACCACTGGAAAACTGGAAGTGGTGAGCTCTTCAGCTCAAGGTGAGTGTTCTACCACTTGAGCTACTGCATCACTTCTGGTTTTTCTGGTGGTTGAGGTAAGAGTCTCAAGGACTTCCCTGCCCAGGCTGGCTTTGAACTGTGATCCTCAAATCTCAGGCTCCGGAGTAGCTAGGATTACAGCGTGAGCCACCACTTTGTTACATTTTTACAACCTAATATTAACTTCTGAGTCACCTTTTAAGGTTGGAACTTAGCCCAGTGGAAGCATAATTGCTCCTTATGTGCACACCCCATTTGAAATCTCCAGCACTGCCCCACCCAAAAAAAATGTTTAAAAAGCAATAGAGGAGCTGGAAAATATAGTTCAAAGTTGGGAGAATAAACCAGGCAAAAAGAAGTTATAAACCAGTGGTGTGGCAGAGTGACATGTGACTCATCCCCAACAACACAGGGAAGGACAAGTAAGATTGCAGCCCAGGCCCTTGAGTATAAATGGAAACTAACTAAAAAACGAAGGGGCTAGTAGTGTGGCTTAGGTGATACAGCTCTAGCCTATTAAGTTCCATGTCTTAGGTTCAAATCTAGTTTTCCCAGACCAAAAACTACTGAATCACTTTTCAATCTTTGACCTTTAGTGCCTCACTTTTGGATGATTTTCTATCAAATGTCCTTTGCCGCAGTAGCATGTTTGTAGAAGCAGAACCAGGCCTCTTACTTGACAATATTTCCTGGGGCTGAAGTTGCTTCTGAGCTCTCTTAAAAATACTTAGCCCGGCGCCAGTGGCTCAAACTTATAATCCCAGCTGCTCAGGAGGCTGAGATCTGAGGATTGCAGTTCAAAGCCAGCCCAGTCAGGAAAGTCTGAGACTCTTATATCCAACTAATCACCAGAAAAGCGGAAGTGGCACAGTAGCTCAAGTGGTAGAGCAATAGCCTTGAGCTGCAGAGCTGAGGGACACCACCTGGGCCCAGAGTTCAAGTCTCATGGCTGGAAAAAAACAAACAAAACTTAAGGGTTACCCAGTTGGCAGTGGCCCATTCCTGTAATCCTAAATACTCAAGGTTGAGAGTTGATGATCATGGTTCGAAGCTTGCTGGGCAGGAAAGCATAAGATATCTCAAATTAACCACCAAAAAGCTGGAGATGGGGGCTGGGAAGATGGCTCAGTGGTAGAGTGCTTGCCTTGAGGCGTTGGGTTCAATTCCTCAACAGCACATAAGCAGAAAAAGCCGGAAGTGGTGCTGTGGCTTAAGTGGTAGAGCACAAGCCATGAGCTGAAGAGCTGAGGGAGAGCACCCAGGCCCAGAGTTCAGGCCCCACGACTGACTAAATAAATAAATTCTGGAAATGGAGCTATGGCTCAAGTGGTAGCATGCTAGCTTTGAGGAAAAAACTCAGGGATAGCAACCAGGCTCTAAGTTCAAGCCCTAGGACTAGCACACGCGCGCGCACACACACACACACACACACACACACACAACTGATTTGGTTGTTATAATCTCCATCCTGATAATTGTTCATGCAGTGAACAAGGATGGGTCTTAGCAGATAGTTAAGATGCAGAAGATACTACATGGTGGTTTAATTAGGATGGGCTCCCTCCACTGGGTTCAGAGCAAGAGTGGCTTGCATTTGTTCAGTTACCAGGTGGGTAGATAAATACATCCTATTCTTATCCTGGGAACAAGTGAAATATTTAGCAGTTCATTGATGTGCCTCTGATATCCCTGTTCCCATCATAATTTAAAGATCTTATACTTCTGTGAACAGATACCCTTTCAATACCAAGACTACATTAACTTTGACATCATACATTTCAAAAGTACAAGTATGAAATAAGAGTAACTGAAAATACAAAGGACTAACACTATATACTAAAAGTAAAGGAAATAGGGAACTATGTATTAAACATAGGTGATTGACAAGAAAGGAAAATGTTGGCACTTCTATGTCAGTTTACATATGTAATTTTTTTTGCTTTGTCAAAAAGATTTGGATTCAGCGCTGGGAAGGTAGCTCAGTGGTAGAGTGCTTGTTTTGCATGCATGAGGCCCTGGGTTCGATTCCTTAGCACCACATAACCAGAAAAAGCCAGAAGTGGCACTGTGGCTCAAGTGGTAGAGTGCTGGCCTTGAGCTGAAGAGCTCAGGGACAGCACCCAGGCCAAGAGTTCAAGCCCCACGACCAACAGGAAAAAAAAAAAATCTTGATTCAGTCATGATATTAGCAAGTCATTTAATGCTGCTTGTTACACAGTGAGAAATGAGGATAATGGTATCTACAGGTCTGTGGTGATTGATAAATTATTAAATAATTGTGTCAAGCATTTAGCATTGAATCTGGCACACAGAACCAACATCAGTATTTAATAATTGCTAAATCAATCTTCGTGCATCAGTTTTACCAGTAGCTGGGACTACAGATGTGTATCACCCTGTATTCTCATTTTATAATGAGAAATTTTATAATGGGGAAACAATCAGTAAAATTAATTATTTGAGCTGGGCAGTGGTGAGTCATATCTGTACCCTAGCTACTCAGGAGGTGAGATCCAGAGAATTGAGTTTTGAAACCCGCCCTGGCAGAAAAGTCCATCAGACTCCATCTCCAAAATAGCAAGCACTGCTAGGTGCCGATAGCTTATGCCTGTAATCCTAGGTACTCAAGGTGTTGAGATTTAAGGATCATAGTTTGAAGCCAGCCCCAGAAGAAAAGTCTGTGAGACTCGAATCTCCAATAAACTACTGAGAAAAAATCTGGAAGTGGTACTGTAACATTAGTGGTAAAGCACTAGCCTTGAGCACAAAGAGGTTCAGGTACAGTGCCCAGGCCCTGAGTTCAAGCCCCAGGACTGGCAAAAAAAGGAAGGAGGCTGAAGATGTGGCTAAAATGGTATAGTACCAGCCAAGTAAGCAAACTAAGCAAGCTTATGACTGTGAGTTCAAACTCCAGTACTGAAAAAAAAATTTTTTTTGATGGAATCATGTGTAGGTATTAACTGGGAGAGTAAAGGATTAGTCCCTAGAGAGAGAGAAAAAAAATTCCCTATAGGCAATTGAACCCTAGCTTTTAAAAGCACTGAATAAGCTGGGAAAGTGGCTCAGTGGTAGAGTGCTTGCCTTGCATGTCTGAGGCCCTGGGTTCGATTCCT